CATCATCATCATCATCATCATCATCATAATCTTCTTCGACGTCATCATCATCATCATCATCATCATCACATCGTTGCACATCATGCAGCATGACAACTCAATAGTCGTTTCGTCTTCTGGCCAGCAGGGGTCCAATCAGAAACAAATGGTGACATGGCAGGAGAGTGAACTTCCAGGACCTTTTTTTGGTCCAAACTGAAAACAGCCTGGGTTTTTGACCAGGATGTCGTCAAACCAGTCAGACATCGGGCGTCAATCTTTTTTTTTTTTTTCATGCTGTGAATTCTGTTAAATAAGGCATTTATAGAAGGCCAGCCCAGGGATTTAAGTGTGTGTTCAGGAGGAACACCACTAGGGGGCGAAGTACAGTAGCTCCCTGGAGCAATAGCTGTGATTTTTGTGTGCCTCCATTCTGTAAAGACCTGGCCTACTCTGCCTGTGATTGGCTGAGATTCTGAACCTTGACTTGACCAGTCGCAATCCTTGCCTTAACCCAGGAATGTGCAAACTAAGGCCCGGGGACCGGATGCGGCCCGTTCAGCTTTTTATTTTTCGGCCCGCCAAACGTTTCCAAGTAATATAATTTATTTATATTATGATTATACTTCTGTCTTTTCCCTGCAATACCCACGTTTCCCCAATAGATGACGCAGAATAGCCTTTTTATGTGACTTTTATCTTTATCTGCCTTAACCCAACCAACACAAACACGATGGCATACTGACCAATCAGAGACAGGTTGGATGTGGAACTACCGTCATAACTAATCAAACTCAATAATATATAAATCTGTTCCATCTTTGGATTCAACGATTTCAGCTCCAAATTCTGTCCTCGTTTATTCCAAAAGCTCCGTGCACTGAAATAAAAAGATATTTTACTTTTTCACCAGCTTCAGCTTTAATGTCAGATACAACGACGGTCGGGGTGGGGTGGGGTGGAGGTGCGGAGGGGAGTGGTCTCCCACCTTCATCAATTTGTTTGGTCAGCACTGGAGTTCAGATGAGTTTTCACAGAAGAGAACAATCTGGGATAAAAAAACAAACTAAAAACTCTGATCCAAACAGCTCTGGTGTGAAAGCACCTCCAGTGTTTTCTCTGCAGTATCTGTTTTTCACAGCAGGACAATCTGCAAAGAGCCTCAGTGGTGCAAAACACACACAAAAACACGTGCACACACATGCACACACATTCATCATTTCTGTCAGTTTGTTCTCAGGTCTAATGATACCTTGCTTTCGAGGGCTCTGCAGTTCTGAGCTGGCAGGGAGTTGGCAATCAGTACCAGTTGGGATGGAAAAACTCCAGGTCTGCACGATGCAGGAGGAAAATGTGAAAAACGCCCACGGAGATGTTTTAACAGAGGTTTCATCAGCTGCGAGGTGATCACACACACACACACACACACACATTAGAGGCTAGGTCAGTTCCTGAAGAATTATAAGTTTTAAGTGCCTTCGTACAAATGTGAACCAGCTTTGGTTCAAACCCGTTTCACAGACAAACTGTTGTTTTCACCTCCGTTCACGTTGTTGTTGTTGATGTTGTTGTTTTATTTAAGCTAGTACGGCTAACTGTGAGTTGTTTTTAGGCTAAAGTGTCAACTGTTTCTGGCTAGCTGTTACATATTCATATCATTAAGATACTGTTTACTTTTATTTATCTCTTGGCTCCGTGTTATTTTATTTTAGCCTTTTGCTATTTGTGGTCTTGTTAAAATAGTCTTTCTCTAATATTTAACCCAACTTCCTGTCAGTTTTTTTTTACCGTTAAGCTAGCTCTGAGATAGGTTTGGGTTTTCTTTAAAAAAAACATTATTATTTCTTTAGCCAATTTTTGCTGTATTTAATATATGTTTGCAAATATTAAGCTAACAGTCACATTCTTGACCCATGCGTGACGTGTTTGTTTTCTAATTTAAATAAATATTTAGCTAGTTCAGCTATATTTTTAGCCAACTATTTTAGCTTATTCTGTGTTACTTTCCAATCCTTGTACCCAGTTGTAGCTAACATCCTCCTAACTGTGGATTAACTTTTGTTTATCTTTAGGCTAACATTTTCTATCATTAGAAACTTAACCTTCAGCTATTTGTTGTTTCAATTTTAGAAGGAATGTTAGCTTTTTTGGCTATTTATCTTGAGCTACAAACTGAGAAATTGTGCTAATTCTTGGGTTGACTTGAATTCCGATCAGTTTGTTTTTTAAAAAAAAATCTCTTTTGCTAACATTTAGCGATTTTTGGGCCGAAACATTTGAAATGCCCTGCTTTGAGGGAGGCATAAAAAGTTGTTTCTTAAAAAAAGAAAAAAAAAATCAAACTCACTGTTTAAAGAAGACGACGACAGAAAGGCTAACAGCTGTTTTCAACTTGTGTTGTGTTGGAGCGCAGATAAGAATTTCTGAGGACATTTTGTGGTCTCTCTCTCTCTACCTCTCTCTCTCTCTACGTGAATGAGTTTATGCTTTGTGACACATTGAGACAAAGACGCTGACGTGCTCCCACAGAGTTAGTTCTCTTACGGTCTCGGTTCAATCTTGAAACAATTTAGCCTCACATTGTTCCTGGCAGGTCAGACGGCGGACGATTCTTTGATATTTTCAACATCCTTGAAAAATCTGACTCCATCTGACAGACCGTTCACGAACCGTCCAAACCTCAAATCTTAATTTTATGAGAAGTCCATGCCTCCAGCTCCTCTCTCTCTCTATATATATATATCTGTTTGTCAACATTAGTCAGTGCGTGTACTCGTGCGTGTGTGTGCGTGCGAGCCCCGTTCGTGTGTGTTCCAAATCTGCTCTGCCGTCAGGAGATAAGCAGGTGGGAAATTGTTGTTTCCAGCAAATGAGAGACTGAACGCCAAGGTAGAATTTAGCTGTTGTGTTGATTAGTAGTCATCCATTTGACTGGAGAGGAAGTTTGGAGTTGGCACGTCATTATACACATTAACTACACACACACACACACAGGTGTTTGTGTTTTGTGAGCACGTCACAGACGAAATGTATTCCTTGGCTCAGGGATCTAAACCTCGGGGTCTTGAACCACATGCAGCTCTTTAGCTTTTATGCAGTGGATCAAATGAAGCCTGACTGTTAAAGGAGATAGTTTTTTTTTTGAAAAATTTTGAAACAAATTTCTTAAATTTTTTTTTTAATTTCTTTTTGAAAATATTTTTTGAAAAATTTTTTGAAAATTTTTTTTTAAAATTTGTTTGGAAAAAAATTTTTTTTTTTTTTTTTTTTACTCTCCACTCGATCTCTCTTCACCAGAAAATCGCTGAGTCTTCTCTACTGTTCATCACTCTGTTTCTCTGCTTCTGAATCACACAGCCACAGGCTTGACTCGTCTTCAGATCAGGGTGACGCTGCCCCCTACAGGCAGACATACTGCAGTCCTCTGATGACTGTGTCTCGTCTGAGACACACGTGTTATTAAAGGCAATTGTGAAACAGACAAACAGTGATTCCTGTAAGGCAGAGTCAACCGCCGCTGTTCCCAGCAGCCGGTGAACAGTAATTGATGCTGGTAAAAAAACATTATCACTGACTGAGAGGAGAACCCAAAACTCCTGCTGTCAAATCAGGACCAGGTTTGGAAGGATAAGGTTAAAGTTCATGACCGTCCTTCATGACCTGGAGCGACCGGACGTGTCTGCGGTTCGACCGCGTTTATTCATCGTTTCTGTGTTTTAATCTCAACAGATTTTTCTCCAGATTTTTTCTTTCTAGGTCACTGTTGGAGAAAAAAAAACAACTAGACACTAGACAAGAACAGCAAATATCTTTCTGCCAGCTTCCCTCCTCAGCTCCCCGTGGATGATGATGTCTGTGCTCGACTCAACAGCCTCGTCTCAACACTCCTGCGTCAGTAATATTTCAGGAACATATGACTAATGTTTAACCAGACGATTAAAAGGATGAGCCGCGTGACTCCGTCTGTCTGGGTCTGTCTGCAGACTCCAGACTGGACCTCTTCATCTTCTCTGTTCTCTCATTGCGTTCAGTGCTCACGTCCTAACCCGTCCGCCCCACTCTCGCCCCACTCTCGCCCCGTCTCACCTGTACGCCATAGCAGAACGCCCGGCTTCGCACTCGGCCAACGACAGGCCACATTCTCTCAGGTACAGCTCCAGGCGCCGTCTCTCCACCAGCCTGTGCGCCGCCTCCAGGATCTGAGAAGCCAGGGCCTCCGACTCCTTCCTTTGGTCCGAGCTCTTGCTGCTCCTGGCTGCCGCTTTGGCCACCAGGCTGCCCGAGGAGGACGACGCCTTGGGTTTCTTGCTGAAGCCGTAGAGGTCCTCCATGGAGTACTTCCCTCCTTTGCCTCCTCCGCTGCCTCCCCGACTGGCAAACATTTTAGTCCGGAATCAAATGCAGGCGCTGATGGTAATAATTCTCCTCAGTTTTACCTCCTGAGCCGGAGCCCAATAACACGGCAGAGCTATTCTGATGAAAAAGTCATCAAAAATTCAAAACACTCTCAGCCTAAAGCTGTCAAACGGGAAACTACAGGGAATAAAAGAACTTAAAATGTCAAACAAAAATTCTTGATTTTTTTTTTCATCCCTCGGTGGAGTCGACATCCAGAATCAAACAAAGATAGTCCCAGCATCAGCACCAGCATCAGCATCAGCATCAGCATCCAGTCACTAACAATAACTCCCTCTGATGTCAGGAGCTGTTTTGAATAAAAATGGATGAGAAAAGCAATCAGCATCTTTCTCTCTTTATCTCTCAAAGGAGGGACAGTGAGGGATTTGTGCCCGAGCTGCATCAGCTTACATTTGCTGAGATTAAGAGAAGCTCCCGGATCAAGCATCAGTTCCATCTGAGTCAGCGGAGACTCCAGGAGTTCAGGTCTTCCACCTTCGCCTCAGACCAGAGTCACTTTGTCTCCATCAGGGACAAAAAGGTCAAACTTTACAGAAGTCGACTCACCCGCCAGTGTACTTCAGTTGTACTTCAGTTGTACTACAGTTGTACTTCTAGTTCTAGTTCTGGGTCAACAGTGTTAACAACAATGGACTTAAGAGCCACTTGTTAGCTTGGCTATATATAAGAAGCTAACGAATATTAGCTTTGTTTTCCCCTCTTTCTAAAGCATTTCTCCTTAGAACAAAAAACCCTTTAGCTTGTTAGCATTTACGCTACACACATTTTTATTTATCTCTCAGTAATTTTCTACTACTTTTACCAGGTTTAAAATATTTCTGTCTCTATATGTGTCCTTTGTTTTTGTTAATTGCTATTATTTAGCTAGTTTTTGGCTAGCTTTTAATTAATGATTCATTTAAAATAGCTGTGGATGGATGTTTTTTTCAATGTGTACACAAACACATATATATTTGCATACAGAATGATGATGTCATAAACATGAAGATGAAGATGAAAGATTATCTACTTATCTGCAAACATACATGTTTTATAATCTCCTGTACGCAAATCTGGATCAGCATCAGTAGGAGGAGAGAGAGAGACGTCCGTCTGTCACCGGAAATATAAAAATGTCCCTCAGTGAGACATTTACTGACAGTAAGGCTCCACTCAGAGATTTGAAGGGAAAAAAAAGTATATGTTTTTCTGTCGACCCTGTGATGTGTTCTTAATATTTCTCTTTCTTTTCTCTGTTTCACAGACGGTTTCCACCAGTAGTTGGCAGTAGAACAACTCAAAGAAAGTGACCCACACTGTAAGAATCATTTGTTAATTAACAAAAACTTTTTAATTTTTCCAGGCAGGAATTGAAGAAAGACACTCATCTTTTTCAACAGCTCTGTTTATCTTTTTTTTTTTAGTTTGTTTTAATTGATAAAATCTGCCTGTATTCTTGCAATTTCTTTTTTTAAATCAATTCATCTGTCAAAAGTAACTTTACAGGAAGTGACTTTCACCGTCATTGGGCTTGTTGTCGTTGTCTGTTCGCACACTGAAGTTACATCAAATATTCATTACAGTTCAGTCAGCTCCAAATCACAAAACATGATGTCATTTGTGTGTTTTTCTTTACTATGATAAAATAATTATAGAACAGAGAAGAGGTGTAGAATGACGACATTTAGTTTCTGTATCTATCAGTGACTGAATGGATGAATGAATCTTCCCGTAGACACGAAGGTCAGGCCCATTGACTGCTTCCATTCATGGATCTGTGATGCTGTTTTTCATCTCCTCCATCTTCCAGCTGTCATGGCGCTCACTCAGTCTGAGCATCAGCAGCAGCAGCAGCAGCAGCCTACAGTCCTACAGTCCTGGAGCGGCAGAGATCAACAGGGATTAGA